AAGATAACAAATATAACAACCTTGCTGATCAACTAGCACATAACCATCACAACCTACCATACCTTATTTTTATATCATATAATACTTACAACTTAGCTTATACTTTAATCTTTGAGAATTTTTCCTTAGAGTTACCTACTTATCATAACATTTGTACAATATGGTATGCACATATATATGCACTTTGGATAACACAAAACTATTTTCAAAAATGGCACAAAATCCTTAATCAAGTTAACTAACAAGCTATCTGGCTTTATATTAATAATAATTAAAAAATCTCAAACTTTTCTCATAGCTTTCAGTTCTTTATCCTTAAATTTTTTAGAATTAAAATTCTATTAGATGAACTTCCTATTCCACACATCCTACATAAATGCTATTCTTCATATTCACCTATTTGTTATTAATGTTACCAAATTAGTTCATATCTTCACTAAACAACTTGTCCATCTAACCAACTATTACTTAGTCTTATTGATATCTCATTACAATATATTCTTAACTCAAACATACTTGATACTATATCTAATATTATAACCAACTTATATCACTAAATCAAACTACTTCATAGAATGTCTATTTATAATAGATCTGATGTACCATCTATTCTCTCAACTCTAACAGACTTAATACTAAATGAACTTATCAACACTATTGCAAATTTGTCTTCCAAAAAAATAGCTACTACACTTTCTATAAAGTTTTTTACTTCATCTTAATTAACAAATCTATCACAAAATTTGGATTCCCTATTTTATTTTAAGATCTATAGCTCAACTTCCTAATTATAATTTATTATTAAATTCTGTCTCTTCTGTATTACACATTCTTCTTTTTAATTCAATTCATTTCAAAATTAATTCCTGGTATATCCAATGGATAAAATATCAAACCAATTCTCTATACATTATTACTAACATCCAAATATTGATAAGCCTTGGCCATTCCAGTTAATTTAAGTTACAGATAAATTAGTCTGAGCTTCTATTCTTTTTATAATATTTTAAAAGTAGATTTGTACTTCATGTAAAATTTTAATTGAATATTCAATAAAGATAGAGACATAGCTTTATCATTAATATTTAAAAAAAAAAAAGCTTTTTGAGAGTTTCTTCAAGTATGTTAAAAGGAATAGTAATTGTTTTGTCTATATTAGAATTAGTTTTTTGGATAAACTCAATAAGAAATTTAGGTTTGCCTTTAGCCATTTTGTAAGTGATATAATAGTAACTAGCTTTAAGGGCTTTTTGTTTAGAGGTTTCAGATTTGATTTCTTTATCAAGATAAAAGTCATGTAGATAAAATTTAAAAAAGTCAAAGAATTCTTCTTAAAAATTCAGTTTGAAGTTGTGATTTATCCTTTATATCTTTGGAAATTAGAAAGTTGACAAGCCAATCAAATATTGAGTTAACTTTAATTTTTTGTTGGTTATTAGTCATTAGTTCATATTAACTGTTGTTATTGTTGGCTTGTTTGTTGCTGTTATTCAATAGTATGAAATGGGTTTTGGTATAGTAGTTGTTGATGTTTTTTTAGTGTTGTTGGTTGTTATTGTTATTAGTAATGTTATTGTTAAGATTCATATTACTTGTAGTATTGCTGTTGTTATTAGATGAGATTGTAAAGATAAGTTTAGATACAAGTAGATTGTAAAAACTAATTGTTTATTAGAGTTTTTGAATGAATGTAAAAGAAAATCTTGATTATTAAATAAATTGTTGAATATTAGTACAGACTTTATGATATGATTTATCATTATATAAAGTAGTATCTGTTGCCAGGTAATGTTGGTTATTTATTTCTTTATAGGCAATAGATAAGTTACATTTAACACAGAGGTAATTATATATGTTTGGTAAGGATAATGCTATAGGTAATGACAAGACAAACTCAATAGAGTTTGTAATAGTATTTATTAAAGTTTTTTATTTTTAAATTTTGAAATAATTTTTGTAGTTTCATGTTGTTTGTAGGTTTAATTAGTTGTTAAGATAAAGTATATATAGTATTTGTTATAGAAGCATATAACAACAGAGCTAGATTCAGATGCTTTAAAGTAATGACTATTTTTGGTATTTTCTCTAAGTTTAGTAATATTACAGTTGTTAAATTGTTTGTTTACAAAAATAGAATGTGATGAAGTTGTTGTATCTCTATGGATACTAATTTCGAAGCTTTTAGAATAATTCTGATAAAAATAATCAAAGTTGATAGTATTAGATATAGTTGTTATAAGGATTAGTATTTTTTTCTAAAAATAGATTTTTAGATATTTTTTTGAGAAAATTTGTTCTATTTAAGAGTTTTCAGACTAATTAGAAAAATTTTGAAAAAAATTTAGATTTCAGATAAGCTGATTAAGTATTTAGGAAATTCTAATGAGTACCAGAAAAGTGAAATTTCCAGGCCAATTCAGTAAGTTTTCTAAAATTGCTAATAAAAAAACTTGTAAAGAGCAAATTTTTGTTTTTACTTTTTGCTTATATCTTTATGAGTTTTGGTCTATTTTTAAAAAATTATATATCAAAATGTTTATCTTAGTAAGCTGAACAACTTTTAAATAGATATAAAGATAGATTTAATTAGTAGAATTATATGTAAAAAAACAAACCAAAAATTTGGTTTTGGAACTTTTCTTAACAACCAAATGTTATTGAAAAATCAAACTTAATTATCTAAAAAGAGAAAAGTATACTAAACAACTTTAATTAAAAGGTCAAATAAGGTTTAGTTAATAGAAAGTTGAGAAATGATTAAATGTTTTTTTGTAGTTTTAGTATAAATGATTTATTATAAACATATTTACTTGCTATTAGAACTTCTTAAAACATATAAATATTTATTTTGAACATTTCTAATTTGGATAATTTTTAAGTCAAGTTCAGTTCTGATTAATGTTCAACACAAACCCAATCTGAAAGTTTTGAATTGAATTTTTTTAACTTGAAATTTTGAATTAGGTTTCAGAATAACTCAATCTGATTTAAAACACTAGTTGCAATAACTAATGATAGTAAAAGCAAGAATTTTAGACTCAAAAATTGATAACTTAATACAAATTAATTTTCGTAAACCTAGCATAACCACAAAGATCAGATATGTACAAAATTTCAATAATTAATATGATGTTTTCTGTATTATTAATATATAAATAATCTGAAAAAAAAACTTTTTTCATATCTAAATATTAGAAAATTTTGTGCTATACATCAAAAATCAACAATAAAAAAATCTGTATTAAATGGTTAAAAGAGGCATAGATTCAGGGAATACAAAGTATCAAAAACATAGAAAAATGTCAATAGATAATAAGCAGTACATACTTCTTTGTTCTTAGTTTTAATAAGCAGTTTTTTTTTATTGATCCTCTTGGAAAATGGATGTTTATTTTTTCGAAGGTATATTTATATGCATTAATTAAATAATAGTTTAGATTTAATGAAATTAGAATGAACAAACCAAATAAGAGATAATACGTACAATAACACCCAATTGATTATTTGAATACGAATTCAACTATTTCTGAATATACTAATATAGTTGAAGTGGACGGGGCAGAAATTTATTAAAGAGACCCTTTACAATGTATATTATTTGTACTTTGTTCATATAGAGATTATTGAACATAAACATAATCTTGAAAAGTCTTTTGATCATAATAAAAAAAAACTTAGTTTAAAAAATATTGATTCAAAAAATGATAAATGATAGAAGCATGCGAAAAGTCTTCCAAAAACATGGAATAGAATAAATAAAGTACATTTTACTGCCTAAATAAAGAATTATTTTGAACACCATTTCATATTAGGAAATCAAAGTTGTTAAAATATTTCTATAACAATAAACACTTTCAATTATATTAATAGGATAGAATATTTTAACTTTTGAATTTTTATAAATTCGGAATTTTTTATTGAATCATTTTTGCATTTGATATTAAAATCGGTAATCAAAATTTTAAATACAGATTACGTAACTGATCTTGGTGGTCATGCTAGGGTCGTTATTAATTTTTCTATTTACCATTTTTCATTTTTTTCGTAGGATTTTTTATTGGGTTGATTAAGTGATAATCAATGATCGTTAAAGGCAATAACAAAATAATTTTTCGGATAACCTGAGAATTTATTGTATGATGCCTTGTAAACTTCTGTTTGATTGTCTAATGCGATCATACTCATACAGGGGGATCCCCAAATTCCGGGTCGGAATACATCGGATTCATGATCGGCAGGGCCGGAATTAACTAATTTTGCCCAAGATCACTAAAAGATTTACTAATGAAACCATAGCTCACTCATTAAGTAAAGCTGCCCAGCTGATAATTTTGGCCCAAAGTGGTTAACTTGTATTACTAAATGCTAACTAAATGCCGGGCTAAATCCGAGGTATTCCGACCCGGAATTTTGGGGATCCTCCTGTATGAGTTTGCGAATCAACTGCCGGGTAGTGTATATCAAATGCTTCAATATATTAATGAGATGCTCGTTTATACGTTACTTGGACTATTTGTTAACTATTATATTTGCTTTCGTTCCTGGTTACTAGCGCGACTACGTCGCGCAGCTACCTTATTATTATCATAATGAATTGACAATATCACATGATTTCGAAACTTTTTCAATTGGCGATTTTACCTCGGTCGATTTCATCGGATTTAGAACTAAGCATATTACAGCAAAATTTTTGGTTGCACTGCAAATCTATCCGATAAAAACTAAGTATAAAAACTAAGAGGTTTGGAAATCACATGACTGTCCCTCGATTATTGGCGACGCTGGTGTTTTTGTCGGTATCCCTAAATGCAATGCCTCTATAAGCTTGAACCAAATATATAATAAATTATTATCTGAATGTATGCATGTTGTCTAAAATCTAGTCCCTTCGAAGCACTTAGTGAGGTTTTATCTATTTTAAGTTTTTTATTTTTGAAAGTTTTTATATACTGTAGAATTCATACATGGATTATAATCAACGAGTTTACTTATATAAACATTTAGTAACCGTATTTAGAACCTGCTATACGAATTACATCATTTTGCTTATTTTTTTTATAAAGAAAATATCCTGTGAAGCCTATTATTGCAAGAATGGCAATTGAAACTATAGGAATTGCCACAATTACATCCGTACTTAATGAATTTGAAGCAATTACAGTTTGAATTTGAGTAACTGAAGGACCTTGAGGATTAGTTGAATCAGGGTGTTGCAATGTGTCCGTGACCCACATATAATTTCGAGTATCAAGAAGGTATAATTGTGTATTCACATTACTCAGGTTATAAAGATTGTTATTAAGTCCCAATACACCTTTATAAATTAACAATAAGTTAATATATATATTATTTTAAATAAACTGATGATTTTATAATTACCAAATGTCAAAATCATAAAGTTTCCTACTATAGCTGCAGAATGGTATGAAAGTGGAGGTGGCTTATTAATACCATTCAATGATTTTTTAGACCACGTATACGGATTAACAGTTGTATCTAATGAAGCTAATTGTTGGCTTTGATCTAAAGCACTATTATTATTATTTCCACCATAAATTATAACATGTCCATCTGGTGATAATACGGCCGTGTGGCTACTTCTAGTGTCTATTGTATCACCAACAGCAACCTAATAATTCATATATAAATCATTAGGGATAAAAATATAAAAGTTAAAAAGTAAAAAAAGTATATCAAGAACATTACTGTTGAGGACCATTTCCCACTATTTGTATTATAAAACGGAATCTAATTCGAAAAAGTAAAAATAAACTAATTTAATATCTAAACAAGTTCAATAATAATAATAATCTATAAATATTTAATTATATTTAATTACGTTAGCCATATTAATACCATCACCTCCTATATAAAGTATACGACCATTATTTAAAAGTGTGGCAGAAAATTCCACACGCCCAGTTGGAGCACCAATAAGAGAGCCTTGAGTCCAAACCAGGCTTGATGTATCAAGCATAAAAATGTCATTAAGAAGAACACCACTAGGGCTAGAACTCTTTCCTCCAAACCTAAGAAATTTAAAATAAATATATAATAAGGATACTACATAGAATAAAGATAGAAGATAAACATACATATATATCTTGCCATTAGTGTCATTAACAGCTTGAAATTGTTGTCGACTTTCAGGGGCCACCCCGCTCACAGGGGTAGGAGACCATGTACTGCTCACGGTATCAAAGGAATATACTACAGTGGTATTGGTAACATTATTATTTGTATCTAGATGTTCCAAAAGAAATATCGTATTTTTATTAGGACCTCCAACGCATGCGCTTGCAAAAGCAGAATTAGTCGGGACAGAAGCATTTGGTAAGGACCATGAAGGATTTGAAGTATTTAGCGTCGAAAGAGTCACATCGAGAATAATAGTTTCTCTTGTTTGTGAATAAATGGCGCTACCAAAAACGTAAAGCTTGTTTCCTACAAGAGCACTACTTTGTCTGAAACGTCCGACTGGTGCAAAAACGTCCACACCAGCAGAAGTCCAGACAAGAAAAATAAGTAAGCAAAGGAATAAGTAAATTTTAAAAGGATCCATATAGAATTAAATTAAAATTCTTAGCGTTAGATTACCTTGTTTAAATAATAAATCGAGTGTATCATCGGTAGTTTGCGTTTAAATTATAGCCGTTTTCAAAAGGTGGAACCAGGTGAGCACTATTATTTCCCAATTTTCCTGATTCTGCAAATAAGGGGAATCAACGCGAATCAAGGGAAATCGTGTAGATTTCCCATGATATAATGGTGCACACTAGGTTACATCTTTTGAAAACAGCTGTAAAGGAGGGTTACGCAATCATGCAGGGATTGAGTTACAGTTTATAGCTTGTTTATTATCCTTTTTGTAAAAATCATGAATCTTATCGCTATTCGTATAATGATAATCGGTAGATCTCATTTCATTGATACTGTAATAATAGTTAGTAGGGATATTATCCTGCTTAAACTGTGCTTAATTAAATTTGCCTATTATTACTATAATTACTTTTTGATATGTCTTTTCGAATAAAGTCAAGTACGTAGGTTGGTCTAATGTAGAGTTATTGTTGGCGAAAGTCGGTAAAATAGTTAGCCACGTGTGTGCAATCTTAATTCAATGAATCGCATTCAATTAAAATAATACGCTCATAGTCAAAGCAAGTAATTTGGTAATTTGTATTTTGTGTTAGTGGTTATGTTTAAGATAATTTACTTATTGTAGGGTTGGGGATTTTGTGTAAGTTTTAAATTTTTGATGTAAGTTTCATGTAAGTTATACAGTATGTAAATTGTCTTAATGCAAGTTTGCAAAATTATGTAAGCTACATGTAAGTTAAAATGTAACAAAATTAACTTAATGTTAACCCAAAATGACGCATTGTTCTCAATTTAGTTTATCGGTATTGTAATCGGAGTTTAACTCCGGATATCCAAGTATTCTTGATAGGTCTTTTTTTGATTCGTATTAATTGTCTAGCTATCATAATCTCTTTTGGCCAGTAATAAGAGTAGTAAGATTTCATTGTGGCTTCTAATAAATTTTATACACCTGGATTTAGAGCAAAGATAGTACGCAGCAAAATAATGTCAATACTACAATGCATTTATGTACGTACAGTACATGTATTATTTAATAGTTTGATAATAGAGATTAATTCCTTTAAGATAGCATTAACATAAAAGATAGCAAATAAACCATTATTTGGCTATCGATTCCTTGAGTGAAAAGGTTGGAAAAGTTTATCTTGCACATTTAGTTGGTATTCTAATTTTTTGTAGCTACCATTATATATGATCATAAATTTAATATGTACGTATGCATTTAATGTTTATACCAGGAACGGAGTGATGAAATCACCTAGTGTACGGATTATACGGTGGATTGCTCCGCAAAATCTTAAGTTTGATTGGTCCGTGTGACTTAGTCATCAAATTTTGGTTATTTTTCACACGTGAATTCATCCCGCATTATTTTTAACACATGAATTCATCAGATCAACGGATATGCATGTGCATTCGGATATGTAATCACAGACAATAATTTGAATACAAAATCATGCAAACGTGGGCGATGTCGTGATTGCGATAACTAACGATATTATAAGCAAGAATTTTAAACGCAAAAATTGGTAAACCGGTGCAAATTAATTTGTGTATTTACCTGATATTTGGCATTTTTTGTTTTTTTTTCGTTTAAATGATAATCACTGATCGTCAAAGACAATTTGTTATATGATGCCTTGTAAACTTTGTTTGATTAACAAATGCGAGTCGATTACCTATAGTGTCTATCAAATACTTCGCAATATATTAATGGGATGCTAGATCAGTTCTCGTTTGTACGTTACTTGGACTATTTGTTAAATACTATATTTGCTTTCGTCCCTGGTTTCTATCACGACTGCATCACGCAGCTACCTTATTAGAATTATATGTTTGTGAGCACAAGGCAGGCATTAAACTCATTATTATTTTCTTCATTTCATAATAATAATATTTTTTGAGGCTTTTTTTTTAGTAAAAAATCTTTGAAACTTTATTTGAAAGGATTTTTGGTTATTGATACGACAAGGAAATGGGAAAAATAAATAAGAAATCCAAAGAAAACTCAATTGTGATGAATGAAAATAAATATTTTAAAGAAAAAAATTTCATATAAATTTTATTTTAAAAAAGTCAGGTGGTTATAACTTTTTTAGAATTTAAAAGTTACTGTATAAGAAACAAGAAATTATCTTTGGATAGTTTTATATAAATTTTTGAATAAAACTTATTTTTTTGGTTAGTTTGTATAACTGTAAACTTAAAATTCACTACAGTGCATGATCCAAAGTGAATCACTCCTTTGTGATCAATTAAAAATCAATTGTGATGGATATAATTTCTTATCAGTTTTAATATATATGTAACATTTATAGTCTCTGCTATTGAAATTCTTTAGTTCTATTTTTAATATTATATAAATTAATTTAAATAAATTAATTTAAATAAATTCATTTATGGCTTATAACAAATCATCATTATTGGTTATAGAAACAAGATATTTAAATAGATTAATTAATATTCTTATCATTATAATTAGTAAATTGAATTATTAACATATATATAAAATATTATCATGATAATTATTAAAAAATTAAAAGTAGTAGAATCTAAAAGAAAATTAGAAAGTAAAAATTTTAATTAATCAATTTTAAAATATAGTATAAGTAAACTATTTATCATAAATTTTTAACAATTTTGTAGGTAAAATAAATAAAGAATTAATTGGCTTAGAAAGATTTTTAAAGTTGAGCAGTTTATTTGTAAGTTTATCTTTAAGACAAATTAGTAATTTTGTTAATAATATTGAAATAATTGCATTTGCAAACTGAAATGTTTTTAATATTACTAATTCATCTTTATTTTTTGTATTACTTTAATTTAATATTTTATGTTATATTAATAAATTTTTATAAATATTAGATACAGTTGGTCTATCATTTTGTTAATTGAATATAGCATTCAAAAGTGTTTTTAATAAATTCAGAATATAATTAATAATATATTTTAATGGTTAATATTTTATACTCAATATTATAATAAGGAGGTCTTCTTGTGAATATCTTATATATAATGATACCAAAACTACAAATATCAACTACTATTATATATAATTTTTTGTTTAACACTTCTGATATAACTAAGTTAAAGTGTCGTAAAATATATTTTCAAATTAGAATCATTCTTTTTTCTAGATAATCCTAGATCAGCAATATAAAATATTAGATAAATATTATTATATTGATTTTGCAATATATTATCACTATGAAAATCTTTATAAATATATTCTGCTTTATATATATTTATTAAACTTTTAAAAATATAAACATGCTAATTTAATTTACTTTTTTAATTAAAATCTTTAAAATTTAAAAATAAGATATTATGAAGACTTTCTCTATTAGCATATTAAAAGACTATTAAATATTTGTTATTAGTTGTATTTTGAATTAGTTCATATATTTTAGATTCTTATTTACTAGTCTAAATACTGTATAACTTTTAAACTTGTTAATTTGAAACAAAAATTTACAATGTTAATAGTTTATAATTTATTTATATTAGATTATAAATAAAATATTTATAATAAGAATAGTAATTCTAATATAGTAGTTTGGTTGTAATACTTCAAGCAGTAGGTTTAGAGTTTAAATTCTACTAGCAGTAGAAATTTAAAAAATAATTCTATTATAACAACTTGATTGGGGTATTTAAGATTATAATTCTGTAATCCTAATTGTACTATGATTAATTTTTTTAAAAGAATATAATATTATATAATAAATTTAGAAAGTATATACTCTATAAGAAGTTTTGTTTAAAAATTACAAGTAGGAAAGATGTATGATCTTTAATATGAATATCATGATTTGGTAACAGAAATCTAAAACAGATAACCTGTATAGCTTATGCAATTATGTTTAACTTTATTTGGTTTACAAATAAATTTTTTAAGATAAGTATGTTAAAATGTTTTATAATTTTTTTTTTTTTTTTTTTTTTTTTTTAGAATGAGGCCTGGCCTCGGTCTTTATTGAACAATTTGGTATTACATTAATTAAAACATTTTACATAAATTATTAC